AAAGGAGCAGAAAACTGTTAGAATCATGTTTGAGAAGATTTTCCAGTGTGTAACAATATACGATAACATAGTAAGACAAAATAAATATAAATAAAGTAGGAAAATGTACAAAAGAAAATTTAAAAACTATATGTTTATTAAATGAGCTGTATAGTATTTGAAACAAAGAGGATAGAATTTGCAAAAAAAAAACCTTCAGCTTCCTGCCGGAGTTTGGAGGAGATGGCCACAATCTCTCCTGCTGGCCTCAGGGTCCTGGAGGCGTCTATTGTTTTCCAACCCAGTTTAGGAGCAACCACATCCATTTCTGTATGACTCATCAGCATATGATAGCTGCAGTAGCTTGTAAAATAACAACATGGGGTCATAGACAATATAATACAGTCTATGCATGGGACATGGGAAAATACTGTTTATCAATGTTGCGTTCTGAAGAACAGATTGAGTCAAGCATAGAGGTTGTACTGTAGCTCTGGTAGTGTCTGGGTGGGTTTGGAAAAACAAGCAGCCAGTGGCGGTGCTGAGCGAATGTCGAGTGCCTCTGGGCTAGGCTGAGTGGACAGGCTGGGTGTTCACTGGGATATATATACTATACTATATACACACAAGCTTGGAAAAACCACAGCCAGGACTACTTGGTTTCGGCGGTGGCAGGGCGGTTTGTTGAGAGCAGACTGAAGAGAAAAGACTCACCAGGAAAGATGGCAACTGAAGGATCAACCGACAACCGACAAGGCAAGCGCCGGCGGCAGGTCAGGTCTGTGCTTGGAACTGGGTCCCGTCCAGCTGGCAACTACACCTCAAAACCAACTGCAAGAGAAACACAGACACAACCAGCAGTTTGACAGTCCTTCAGAATTAACATTTCCCTTTATTGCTCCGGGGGAAGATTGACCCACGTGAGCGTGGTTTCAATGGGAACACTGCCACCAAGTCTTTTGTCATACTGAAGTGGGCGTGGTTTAATATAAACTGGGTTGGAAAAATGATAGACATGTCCTGGAGGGATGGCAGATTGCAGCCAATCACCTTCTCAGCAAAGTCAATGTTTCACTGCAGTCTGTCCTTGTCCTGGGCAGCTGCGTACCAGATGGTGATGGAGGAGTTGAGGAGGGACTCAGTGATGGCGGTGTAGAAGTTCACCATCATTCACTTCGTTAGGCTGAACTTCTTCAGCTGCAGCAGGAAGTATTCTCTGCTGTACATTATTAATTATTGTAATATTCATTAGTAAGCTAAGCTTCCGGTCAAGGACCTTCGTCACGCATCCTCTCGTGTTTGTCCTGACTGAGAGAGTCAACAGGTCTACTTTAGAGGGAACTACTGTGTCACTATATCTTTTGGCCAGACCTAGCGATAGTTTAGAAATGCTACAATCTGGGGACAAATGTCTCTATGTTCAACCACTGACAATGAGCTGGTGATGTTATTTGATAATAAAATGATCTGCAGTAGTCTGAGTAATAACGTGACCTTCTGAATAAAAGTGAACAAAGAACATTTTAACTTTAGTAAGCAGAAATGCATAAAATCTTTTTTCCATTCAGCACTGTGAAAAATCAATCTGGTTTCGTGTTGGCTTATGAGAATGGGCTATTGGGTTCCTTCTAGAATAGGTTATTGCATCAGAAAAGTTTATTTTGGATTTGCTGTCATTGTTTTCTCAAGTTCAGGTTATAAAAAAGAAAAGGTCACCCTATAAGAGTGTTTCACAGTTTGGTTTACTGGGTGTCAAAGAAAGGTATAATGATGTATTGTCTGTGAAGCAATTAAAAGCATTATTCCACCAAGTGAGCACATACTTAACAGAGGGTTATTAACCCGGTAGCAGAGTTCTACACTAAACAAGGTTTTCATTATACTATTCTATCCAAACATTGAGGGAGGTGGTTGGAATTACCAATCAAATAAGATCGTCTTTACTTAACTAACATGCTGGAATTTAGAAAAGGTACCAAGTGATGTTTGAGAAGATATAAATAATTTAATGTGAGCAAACATAATCTTGACAACGTACTTTCATGTTTCTATCCAGTGGGCTTGTATGCATCACTTTGATCACAGTTGTTGTGTTTCAGATGATTCCTTGATGGTATGCAGTACTTTTGTTACTATATGGCTGACATTGTGTCATACATGAGTGATGATATCATTTGGGGTTGCATTCATTGAAAAATGTGTTGATTAAACACATTTTAATTAAAATTAAAAAATTAAAATTAAAAAATGTTGACAAATGAAAATCCTGGTGTTGCAACATTGTTCCTCACTTCAAATAGTTACATAAAGTTTGCCAGAATGTAATTCTGTTTTTGTGCTGTAATGTAATTTTAAATACGTTATCAAGCCAGCACAAATGCTTATGATGCAAGCCCAGCGTTGTGTCCATCACTCTCTCACTAAAATCACAGTACCAGGGGTCGCGTGCAGAGATTAGTCGCCTGGAGACTCAACCTTATTAAAGAAAAAACCACTGGAATTATTTATAAAACTCATCAACAGGGCTAGCATGACGTTAGGGACTCAGAGAAGTTTTGAATTCATAAACACAGAGTTTCCCTGGCGATTCATAAAAATCAGTGCCACTGAAAAAAATACCATCTGCTTCTTTCCCTCTCCACAATGTCAGAGGTGTTATCAGTCTCCTCTGCAGGGCTTTCTCTGACACTCCGTTACATCTTGATCACAGCCCACCACACCTGCACACAATTATGAGTAGATTAAAGCACCAGAGTTTAATATGTTAAACTCAATTAAGGGCAGTTAAGAGCAGCACCGTGGCATTGTGAGTCTAAAGTGTGTCTCTCAAATGAAGCTACACCCAGCCCCTGTGACTGTTGGATTTCACCTCTGGGGTTTGGCAGAATATCACAATTACATTTCCGTTGTCAGCCAACTCCATCTCCATTCAGGGGGTAGGGCAATAGTAATCTGACTCTGTCACAGTAATCTCTGCCATGGGAACTTCATAAATCAGTTCTAATTAAACTGGCGGCAGATTTTGCGTGACGGGAAGCAGTTAATGTTGTCTTACTGAAAAAGAGCAGCTGATTTTCGTCTCGGTTAAGGTCCGGGATCATTTCCTTCTGTAAAATAAAGAATATTCTCAGTTTTACCATTGAAAATGGAACAAAGAATTTAAGGTGATTACATACCGTAGCGCTGGATGTTGACTAGGTATATCAAATGAATCAAACAATGAATGGGAGAATAACTTATCTGTGTTATTTTGAACAGCAAATTAACTTTAAAGGCATAATAATATATTCCAGTTTGGATGCTTTTAATTGACCATTTACTGATCCATGTCTCCCATACCGTAATTGCTGTTGCTACACCTGTCAAGCTTTTTACACAGCGCACATGCAGTTCATAATGATAGCAAATTTACTGCACGTAATTAGCAGCAAGCCTGGATCTTCCACTTCACACAGAAGTAACCAAAAACATGTTACTCATTTCTTGCCGACGGATTGACCTCAATTGCTGAAAAATTTGCTAGTGGATTTTATCAGCTGTTGATTGCTAGTATAAGCTAATTCTAATGCTAAAACACTGTCATTTGGTTTAGTTTGTTTTTTTGTAAACTGGTTTTTAATCTGAACATTATCTATCTTCCCTCCTTAGATACTTTCCTTCTCAGCCTTTGTCAGTGAAGAACTCAAAGATAAAATTTCACACCAACATTTAGGAGGCTCTATTGGCCGAAAAGGAATATAATATTCATAGGTATGTTTTCATAAGTGTATGATCACCTGAAGTTCTAGTTCTACAGGGGGTTGTTTGCGCTTTCGCAAGTTTCACAGCCAACCTAGTTTCTCCTTCGCACTTGGAAAGGTTGGGGTGAAGCGAGGGAATTCCGATCTGCAACTACACCCTAGATGCCGCTAAATGCTACACACTGGTCCATTAAAAAAGCAAATTTGCAACTAGACATCATTTTAAAACCCAGACTTGCTGGGAAGATGGTGGAGGGCGAGAAGTGTGACTGTGCTCTCTCTTCCACCTGCAACGCACATAAACACCCACCTAAGTGAACTCTATCCTTTGAGAGTCTGTGTTAAAGAGTCGAAAGATGTTTTCTCTTGTAGGACATTTAAACTCAATTTATATGCTGGTGCGAGAGAGTAAGTGGGCAGTATTGATACTAGATGGGTTTGAGCTGCATTACCACAAAGCAATCAAAACAACCATTTATAGACACGTACACATAGAGACTCAGACAGTACCCAAATGTCTCTTTGACTGAGAACTTCAAAGAAACCTTGTATTTTCCCTTCAGCTGTACATGTTCTCCCTATAAAATGTAATTAGTCTCAAGCTAAGAAATACACATACGCACAACCTGCACACATACACAAATATCAGCTTAATGTATTTCTCTCACTCTCTCCTCTGTGTAGCATCTTTGAAAATGTCTAACGTATTATCAGCTGTGTCAAATTTTTCCTCTGCAAGATCTGAGATGTTGTTGCCACCGCTGGCAATTTTTACGTAGCACAAAATATTTCCTTCTCTATCATCATCCACAGGTTTCTATATTTTCCATTGTGGTGGCAATCCCTGTGAGACATTTACTTTGATGCACAAACACAAAGATGATTGATCAAAGATTTTAGATTGGCGACATTCAACCGTGAAGTGCAGCCACAAAATGAATATTAAATTCCACCTGAGCTTTGTGAGGACATCTCACCTTAGGGATGTAATGGAGTGCGCTGTCAATATGGAAAGCATATTTTCATTCAAAACTTACTTGTGTAGGGATGGGTCGGGAAAGTGCATACAGTTCTGCTGACATCAGATGTCATCTTGTGAGTATGTTAATGTATGCTTCCACATTGCTGGTCACTGACAGCCAGAGCACAGGTGGCGTAGCCTGAAAAGGAAGTACTGGAAAATGACTGCTTTTAATGTTGCATACTGTGCAGCTAAAAATGAGGTGAAGGATTGTGACTGACCTGTGTTTATGTGTTCCTGTTTCCTCCTCCTCTCTGCAGCTGGATGCTTGGTGAAGCATGGTGGTGAAGATGGTTAGAACGCACTTAATGGGGCCACTGTCATGGGGCCGGGTCAAATGGCCGAGCATAATGGGAACAGGAGTCCTTTATCTGCTGCTGCTATCAACCTGTCTCGGCCAAGACACAGAAGGTAAAGTCTCTAGTTGTGTCCCCTCCTCCATTTTCTTAGTCATGATTTCTCTCTTTGACTTGTGTTTTCTCTGTGTCTTCATATTTTTTTCCTCTGTTTTATAATTCAGAGTTGAATCTAGTCTGCTCAGCAGGGATTTGATATCAGAACGGTGCACATAACTTTTCTGACTTATCTTCGGTAGTGAGCATGTCTCAGTTAGCTGCCACAGGATTTTCCTGATCCATTATGGATCCTCTTTTATGTATCTGTTGATGACTGAAGATTAATAGTGCTCTGTTTAGACAGCCACAACACAATTTGTCAAAGGGTGTTAAGTAGTATATTCAGTTTTTCCTCTTATTATATCATTTACTACAGTCTTTTCCTGTTCTTATTCCATTTTGTCCACTAATATTCTATTAATATTTTCTGCATGGGCAACACTTAAGTAAATAATAACAATACATAGTTGATTCTATTTAATTTGACAATTTGCACACACTGCACCATGTAGTTATAAAATAATATTGTAATAAAAACTAGCCCTCACTGCTCACCTGTTTTGAACCATGCTAGCCACAGTAGAATATAGTAGAGAAAAGTAGAATAAAGCTTTAATGTCCCAGGGGGTGATCTGACTTACAGATAGCAAATAATAATAGTAAATACAAAATTATACAACAATGAATAAAAATGGCAATCAATACAATCGTACATACATACACAAACACAAGTACACAGATTAATGCCAGTGTCACTTTTCATTGTCACAGTGACACAAAAGAAAAGAAGCCATAAACCAGGTGACAACGTATCACATCCACAGCCCGTAACAGGCCAAATCACAAAATGTCTCAAAAGCTGATGGAATAATACTCCTCATGTATCTCGTTGTAGCCATCATCCCTCTCTGTGTCATCCCCCTCTGTTTCCATCACAGTATGTATTTAATGTGTATGTGGGCTATTGAATGGGGGACATTTTGTGAGATGATACATACATAGAAATTATACATTTTATACATTTATACATAAAACTACCTACATAACACAAAGCTTTTGGATGGGGTGTAATGTAAATGTTAAAGTGAATGTGCCCTGGTGTGCTTCTTCTTTCACTTCACAATTTAAGAAGAATCTGTAATTCAGGAGTAATAGTTAATTGGAAAAATATGCCAAGGATGTTTTAATGTTTAAAAAATATTCACATTCATATTTCCTTGAACAGAGAGCAAACTGAAGCAAGGTAAGACAGGAATGAAGTCATCACCGTTGGGAAAGCTCAGCGTAATACTCTCTTGACTTTCTGCTCGATTTGTCAGAATATTAATATTCCATTTAACTCTTAGTCCTTGAAATTTATCTGGTTGGCATTTAGCTGACAGGGGCTGTAGCCAGAGGTGAATGTCTGTGAGTGTGTATGCTTCTGTGCAGAGGTAGAGAGGAGCATATGTAAGCATCAAGTGTGTACATGTAGGTTTTTAGTGAATTCAGTGAGGTATATAATTCCAAACATCCCTTCAATTCAGATCTCCCTGGACCCACCTGCATCTCCTCTTTTCTCCTCATTGCACATGTCCACCTGCATTCAATTACATCTGTAAAACTGTGTTTCCTAAACTGTTGGCAGGTTCTCAAAAACAGGATTGCAGGCGTTATTCTGGTGAATCTGCACATAACAAGAATAGTAGGTTTTAATGAGCCTGGATTTTTGGGTTGACATACAATATATGTCCTGGTTTGGGTCCCCTCATGACATGAGTGCTGGTGTGTTTTTAATGAGCTCGAGTCCCAGGATGAGCGGTTGATTTTAGCTGTTTGGACCCCCACATGACAAGAGTACTAGTATGTTTTAATTAGCCTGGGTTTCAAGGTAAGATACTATATTTTATCACTTTTGGTTTCCAGAGTGACAAGAGTACCAGTATATTTTTAATGAGCCTCGATCCCAGGGTGAAAGTCCACACAAGGTGTCAAATCAGGGTTTTTAGGCTAAAAGTGTGTTTTTCTTTCCAAAAAAAACAACTTTTACTGATTAAGATTATAAAGTTTTAGTGTTAATTTCTGAAATCATATAGCTTACTCTAGCTAATTTTGTTAAACTTGTTTAATGTTACGAGCACTGAAAATAACAGACTCAAATGCAAACCCTCTGCTCTGATGAATTCCTGTACTTGACTTGCCTCTGATTATGAATTCAGTTGAAGTCTGCGGTGTGTAGGTGGTGCTTCATTGGTTGTTTTAATTGAATGTGACTTATCTGTGAATATAAACAAGACACAACGGAATGCATGAAATGAGTGATGCTCGAGTTGTCATACATTGAGTGTGTTGTCTGTGTATCTCTACGTTCATGTTGCTACTTTTCAATGCCTAAATGCTTGTGAATGTACTCCTTTGCACCTGTGTGATTGTCTGAGAGAGATTTCCTGCATGACAATGAAACTGTGCTGGTTTGTGTGTCTATGATAACATGCCTGTGATTATGTGGCACAGCTGCAGTGTGTAAAATAATGAAAAGCACGCTTGCCAAAAAGAGAGGAGTACAATGCTCTATCAACCAGATATTACCAGATAGCCCTCTCTAGTCACTCCTCTCACCGTGACTTTCTCTGGCCAGCCAGCTTTCTGCAAGATGCAAAAAGAGTCTGACACTATGTAAATGTCATTTGCTAGCGTGACTGTGACCCTTTCCCAAACCGATTCCTTCTCACTGGCCCTTCACTACGGAGTGTCACTCTGAATGAACTCACGCTCACAGCTGTGTAGGGCACTCTGAGGGAAGGTATAAATAAACAGGTAAATTGTGGGTCACATTCGCCACTATCAGGACAAAGAAAGCATTTATGTGCGTTTCCATCCCCTACTGTTATGTGTTGCTTTGTTCATCGAGATAAGCAATAGGTGGCGCTAATTCTTCAGCTGGGTGCCAGTGAACATTGCAAAAAAGAGGGCGCAACCAGATGGCAAAATTAAAAGAATACCAGTCAAACCTCAACTGGTGATAGAAAATTATAAAACATGATGGAAATATGGCATTTGTGTTTGCTTCGTGTATTAAGGTTACAGCCTCCTCATTGCTCCACACAAATCGGATGCTTTTGTCTGTCGATATTTTAGTGGGCCGAAAGCGTCAGTGGATGCTTAAGTTTCTCAAAAGAACATATGTTCTATCCATTTTTCCATTCAAGCTTCAACCTGCATTGTTTACATCTGTGTTTACTAGCTAGCCAAGTCCATCCTTACCCGCCTTTTGTTAGCACGTTGCTGTTTTGCTTTAGCAAATTACCGCCACCAACTCTGAATCAGTGGACTAGACCAATGTTCATCAGTGTGTGTGTCATTAACTCTTAGTGTATGAAAGGTTTATGTGCATAAGTATTGTTTATGTAGAAATTTGCCGGTATATGATGTTTCCCCCATTATCCAGCATTTGGGGCTACATTGGCATTGAGCCAATACTGTATGCATTGATTATCCATAAATTGCCACATAGTGCTAAACCAAATTATATTTCCCTCCAAAAACCCTCGCCTACATGGTTACAGAACCCCAGAATCACCGCCCACATTTTTTTCTGCTATTCAGAGAGTGAAAAACCAAAATGTAGTTATAGTTTTATATACAGCTTGCTAATATCTAAGCAATTAACTGCACTGAAGTTATTTCATAGGGTTTTCATGGGGTTTAGAGTTGGTCTCAGTGGTTTTACAGCCAGAGCAACAACCTTTTCAACTTCCATTATTTTCAGTAAAAAAACAGAATAAGACCACAGATCACAAATTGAATGCAGTCCCACGTGGTTACATGCAGGACATTATACCTTTGTGAAGTTTAACACCTTGCTGATTATGCCAGGGGTGTATTAATTTAATACTTGTATTAGACTCTATTAGATTACGCCTGTGTGATGGAGGAGGACAGTTTACGTGCTTATGACAAATATGCCACACTGCTAATGTCAGTTTTGCCAGTGCGGTGGGCTGGTACTGTAGATTGATGGCATATTGTGTGCGTGTGAGGGTGTTTGTGTGTGTCGGTGTGTGGATGTGGGTGGAGTTGAAGTTTTCAAGGTGATTTTAATATTTATTACTGCTTTCCTTTGTTGTTAGATGTTTCATCTGAAGTGAATGTCTTTGCCATCTGTCCTCACTTCAGCCCTCCCATCTCTTCTTTCACTGTCTTTGTCCCTCTCACTGCCTTTTTTCTCTCTCTACCATTTCTTCTCATCAGCCCCTGTCATCTCCCTCTTATACCCCCATCTCTGAGGCAGAGTGGTATTTCTGTAGATTGGTATTTCTCCACCCCTGCCTTTGCTTCTGGAACTTTTCCCCTCTCACATTTATTGCTGCTTTTTTCTCTCTGCTGCCTTCCCTTACTCTGCTTCACTCTAAATGCCCTTCTTTGTTCTCGCCATTTCTGTATACTCCTTTCAAAAGACTACAGCTTATTTATTGTGTTAAGTCAATTAATTGTACCAGAATTCGTCTGACACACACATATATATTTTGAAGAACCTCAGTCTGTATTTGAATGGTGTATGGGTCAACTGTGTGCTCACAGTGCCACTGAGTAAGAAGAGTGCATATAAAACGTTGGATAAAAAGGACAGGGGTGAACATAGAAAACAGAAGAAATACACTTTTAAAGGAATTTGTTCAACATTTTGGCAAACTAAGTTATTTGCTTTCCGGGTTTCTATTCTGGATGTGCTTTAACTACAGAGCAAAAGAGTCAGGACATGTTTAGCCTAGCCTGGTATAAAGAAAGTAAAAAGAAAATATTGCACAAGAAACAAATGAGTTACAGCAGTTGTTTCAGCTATGCAACAGTATGGCGATATATATGAAAATTCATATCATATAAGAAATTAAAACCTGTATACTCTATACAATTTTGTGTATGTAAGGGTTTAACAAAGGGAGACATTATTGAGCTTTAGAGGTGTAAGTAGGTGTGTTTTCCCATTAGAAAGAGTTAGCTGTTTCCCCTTGCCGCCAGTCTTTGTGCTAAGCTAGC